TTTCCCAATCCTTTTACCCAGTCACGTCCTTGAATTACGCCGTCATTAGGATGACGTAGCTGCTCATGAGAGATGAAACTGCGAGAGATCGGCGTTCTCTCCCGAGACGTCCGAGCCGCGGGACGAAAGCGTTAGCCTCGTTGCCGCTCGATGGAGCCTTGCCTACCTACCTGTAAGTTCGAGTACTCGCACCTTACCTAGATCAACAGGTTCGCGTGCCGGATGTGTCGGCCGACACGCCGGAAGTCCACTCGTCAGCCACGTAAGGTCGGCCCCCTTCCCCCCGATACCGATCGGTCTGACCTTAACGTCCGGCGTAAAACCCGCGAAGAACCCGAGGACTCCTTTATGTCCTTCTGCCCCTTTCTTCCTCTATCTCCATTTCTCCATCTCTCTCCGCCTTTCGCACACGCCGTCGCTGTCACGAAAATAACGTTATCGGCGCGCGCGATTCACGTGACGTTAACCTTTGACCCTCCCGCTCGCGATCGAAAGCGCGATCTCGATATATCTCGATATACGAAAAGCGGTTTTACTCCCCGTTTTTAGAATACGCACGTCCTCCCGTCCGTCAGTGTCGATGCGTAGTTCCAGCCGAAGGGGGGCTAAGGGGGGGGGGCGGTCCGGAATAGCCGACGGTGCCTCGCAAACCGGCGTGCGAAGCTGAGGATGAACAGCCGCCGGAAGCTTACGCTCTTCGGCTTCCCGGCGGAGGGTTTCGTTCCGTGAGATCGTAAACGTTGACGTGCGATAAAAAAGAGACCGGAAGGGATCGCGCTCGTTGTTCGTTCCTACCGTGCGTGTGCTCGTACGTGTGCGTCTCGGAGGTAGGATTCTCACGCGTCGGTGATAAAAACACACGGCTGTAAAAGTGTAGGCCATCTATTCTCTCTTCACTTCTCTGCCGCGCTAGCAGTTAGTTGCCGCATTTCGCGGTCTCCCCGGCTCCGAGGCCGCGATCGCGCGTTTACACGAGAACGTACAGCTATTTAGACGAATATATACGAAGGGTCGAAGGGAAAGAGGATGAGGGGGAGGAAAGGAGGAGTCGACGCGGAAATAAGTACAAAATTGCGTAAGACTAATATCCGGGGAAACCTTATTCGACCTAGTAAGTGTCGTCGGGATGCTCGACCACATATTTTTACTCGCTTTCTCTCTCTCTCTCTCTCTCTCTCTCTCTCACTCTCTCGTTCTCTTGCTCGCTCGCTCTTCCCTCGGCCGTGTCGACAGGGTGACGCGAAAGTTCCGTAGAAACGTATGAAACGTGTGTGAGAAGAACACGGCCGGTGCGACGAAGAAAGCTCGATTAGCACGCCGGTTTGATTCGATTCCACGCGACTCGAAGGTCCGCCGCCGGCGAGCCCGCTCCTTTTACGACGACTGAGTCATTCGTTATTTAGCGTTCGATAGTGATGGAGGAGTATTGATCGGTACTGTGAACACACTGCACGGTGCTTCGGCGAGAAAGAAAGAGGAACCGGCAGACTGAACGTCTCTTCTCTCTTAATCGCGGCGATTGATCCGCCGGATCCACGTCGGATCCGATCTCTACGCCGAATCGAGTATATATATCGTGGTTATGAAATCCCCGGCGCAACTTTACGAACAGACAGCCTCGCTATTAATCTCGGCTCGAGTAACAAACAAACAATCAAGAACCGAGTGGAGGGAACATGCGAAATCATTCCTCTCCACTTTCGCGACTCCATTCCTCGGAAGCAAAACAGTCGAGTGACAAACAACCGGCGATAAAGCGGCAAGGAAGTCAGAGAAACATGATTTATTCCTCCCCGCTCCGCTTATTCATCCGTGCCGAAATAAAAAGTCTAGCACTCTGGGCGCTGAGAAGGACCAGATACACGGGCCCGCTCGATCGTCGCGGCTGACCTTCCGCCTCGCGCAGAGCCGCCCAAAGAAGGGAGATTCCTCTATCACAGAAATTTTACTTTGCCCTCGCGCGTCTCCCGCGCGAAAGGAATTCGCGATCGGAGGGACTGACAGCGGGACGAGGCAGCCCTGATAACTTCTCGGTGGTGTCTCGCATTTTACCGCGAGAGGAGAGACGATAACAATAATAATTGACAGTTTTGCGGCCGGGGCCCGACTGCGGGGATGACGGCCCTGTGCCTTGGTCGAGCCCGCCGCCGCGCGCTACGCAGTTACAATTATTTACAAAAATCACAAGGACCCGTTGGACGACGGGTCGCTCGCTCGCTCCCGCGTGTCCCGTTAATTATTTCCTCCCTTCTAATCTATAATCTCGTTACGTCCCGCGAAGCACATGTACATCGCACGTACACGCGAGGTTCCTCCGTCGCGAACGCTCTCGAGCTCCCTCGACGCTTATGAACGCGCGCTCGTCGCTGGAGCGTCACGAGCGCGAAAGAAGACAGTCCGCGAAATCACTCTTACGGCCTTACCATCGAACATCGGTTATAATATACAATTATCATTTCGCAATATCATCGCAGACGCGCGCAGACGCGACGTTCACGAGCGTGTCACTCCGTCGTCATTCCATCGGCCGGCGATTTAACGCTCCGACGCGGCGCTTTCGCGACCAACATCGAACGGAAACAACGATTCCTTAATTATAATAATCGTTTTAATTACCCGACCTCGGATGATCATCCGATTAATCCTACGCAAACGATATCTCGTCGCGGCTCGCGTTCTCAGACAAGCAACGTCTCCTCACTCCTAAGCGCGGTCAGCGTTAGCCGCGATCCCAACGCTAAAGTGGCAGATATAATGAGAATTTCAGGCGTAAGACTTAAGCTTTAAGCCTTGAGCCGAAAGAAATCGAGCGATCACGGTCGAGTGTGAGAAGAATAACCAATTGTGATTGGCGAACTTCTTACAGCTTAAGGATTCAAGATTCAATCTTATTCCTGAATCGTCATTGTACACGCTTTAATGGACATTCTACAATTGGTGTTTTCAACCTTAAGAAATCGACCAGTCACAGTTGATTCAGTCTCTTCGCATTCGACTGTGATTGGTGAATTTCTCAAAGCCTGAGGCTCAAAATACCCGTTGCTTAAAATGCCCGTAAAGCGCGACCGTCTGTTTCTCGCGACGGTCGGGAGACGAGAACGTCGTAATCGCGAATCGTCCGATCATCTCATTCCCCGCTCGTCGATCGATATTCCCGTCTCTGAATCAGCGTGATCGATCGCTCTTGCGAGCGACTTCAACGCTGAATACGACGGAGCCGAGGAGGAAAACTCCCGCGCTCCCTGCTGCGTTTGCGTCACTATGATGCCGATAAGAACCTCGCGCGTGACTCACGTTAGACGCGCCTAACTATAACGCTTAGAACAGTCCCGCACGATTGCGCAACCGTGTGTCGAGTACGAATACGGAACGTGCTCGCGTGAATGCATGAGTGTGTGTGTGTGTGTGTTTGTTGCGTGCCTGTGTCCATACGTACGTCCGTATACGCACTTCCGGCCGTACGAGTGTAAACGAGCTTAATCATATCTCGGCTTGGTCGCACGACCACGCACTCGTCGTCGTCGCGCGCTCGCTCGCTCGCCGGAGAGAGCCGAGTTGTGTCATGGTGGCCTTAAACGAAACTAAAAGGTCGTTTACAATGGAAATATACGGGAAAAAATAGTCTCGAATGAATGATAGGTATTCCGCATAGACAAACAAGAACGTCGTAATATCGCTTGCTTATGTATAAGAATATCTATTCTTGATTTAGAACTACTTCCCTTTCTTTGTAACGACACTGTCGGAGTACGGAGTAGGAGAGTTTCTTTTTTTTCGGAATAAAGCGTTACACCGGAAGTGAGTAAATTGGATCGTTCCTACTCCTTATTCTCTGCTGCCTTATCGCTAACCAATATTTTACTTCTTACTTATTATTACTGCTTATTTCCAATGTAGACAGTCCTTGATTTCCTACTCCGACAGTCTCACTATCTCCATTGTGGACGGCCCTTAACGTGAGCAAAGCGGCGAGATTTCGGGTATTTCACCGCTTTGCTCACTTCGGCTGCGCTGAACCTCGCGCGAGAAGGTGTATATATATCGAGCTTTAATGAAGCTTCGAAGAGAATTGAGCGGCTTCAAGCTCACTAATGACTTCCAGCCATTCGCGTGTAGATGACGACCACCGATTACCCGGCTAATCTGCTATCTTGACAGCTTGACGTATCACATCGTATCACTTTGTATCATACTTTGCGCCCGGACGTCACGAATAACTCAAAATTATTAGCGAACTTTGGCCTGGTAGTCGAGGCTTGACTGAAGCTCGACGTATGAGCGCGATCGAGGTGATCATGACGGCGAATCGATAGCGCGATAATCGATATTTCCTCATAATCGTATATATGAAAGCCGTCGAATAAATAATTGACTTCTTTACCGTAATGAAACATGCTGTGAATCTGATAGTACTGCGACATTATAATACAACGTTGTACGACCTATCTGTTTCGACAGCGAGAATTCGTGATATCCACCATGACCGATAATGAACAATTAATACGATGTTGGAATCTTATCACCGATACCGCGAGGTATCACGTGACGTAACATGATGTCGCGACGCTACGGATCACTCTTATGGCGATTCGTTATCGCTTCCCCTCGAGAGGACAATTATTAATCGCTGATTGATTAACGACGGACGATGAACAAATCAACGATCGATGTGGGACACGCTATGCTACAATATGCCACGTATTGTGACTTAATATCGGACTCGCCACCGAAGCGTACGCGTCGCGCCGCAGATCGCGTTCGTAATCACCCCGATCGCTCCTCGATCTCTCTTCCTCTCCCACGATCTCTTTCTCTCTCTCTCTCTCTTTTTCTCTCACCAAACACCGAAACACTCTCCGTTTCGCGCGTCATTGTCCGACGATAGTCCGAAATCACTGTTCTATCCGCGTCGGGTGGACTCCCGGCGGTCACCCAACGCGCGTGTCTTCTTCAGGGCGTCAGCTGTTAGAGAGGAGGGGGGGGG